GCGATGAGAAGGGAATGAAGAGACCACTCACGTCTCACCAGTATTGTAGCAATAACACCGATGCGTTTGGCCAATATGGTGTCGGTGACCAGTTCGGCCTCTTTACGAATACAGATAGCTGCCACTGGAGGAGGTAAACGAATCGAGCTTAGACAAGGAAAGACAGATGAAACAACTTATTGCAAGTGTTTTTACACGCACATGCCAAGAAAGATAAAAACGTCTATATCATCGTACAAGTCGTCGATATATTCTGCCCATCTTTGTACTTTCTCGTGCGTCTGTGTTATAGTAGTCCCGTGTCTATCTAGAAGTGCACCAGTCGGCTTCTGTTTTCTTAGTCCTGCCATTTCTTTAACTTCTTGTGTAGGTTATACAGACAATATTTTTTTTGAAGGTCTTCGATCTCTTTGCATTTCTCTTCAAAGTATTTTTCTTTTGCTTGCGTTATCATCATCCTGATCTCGTGGTTTATCGTCATACAGGGTGCGCCAAAACTCTGGCTTTCTTTTTTTACTTCTTATTTCTAATGAAACTGATGTATATCAAAGGATTATAATAGAATAATAATAGAATTATTATAAAATTATTTTTAATTATACAGGGTCAGTCAAAACAACGGAATGAACCAAAGTTGTGTTTTTTTAAATGGAACACCATGTATATTAAAGCATTTTTGAATAAATTTTTTAAAAATAGAGAAAAAGATATTAAATTATTTAAAAATAACATCGTGACATGTAATGTAGATTTTTATTACTTCCGAAAACTAATCCGTATGGTTTCAAATTTTACCGTTTTTGGTCTTTGTTATAAGTCAGTTTCGTTAATTTTGTTTAATAACTATAATTTATTACTATTTATAACTGGGAATAAACCACAATTAAAGATAAAAATACGTTTATTGACGTTTCAATTTCCAATTCGGAAATCGTTCTCAAAATACAAACAGTAAATTAAACAAATTTTGTTTTTTGTTACATAGTGAAAAATTCTTCTAATAATTTAATTTTATCTGACTCATTTATATTGACAATTCAGACATACATTATGCATTTTAAAGTAGACGACTTTAAAATGATATTGCCAATATTGTTGAGTTGCGCTCCTGGGACGACTTTACTTATAAGATAGTTCATTCGATTACATGAAATCAACTTTAACTTGAGAATATCCGTCAGAAAAAATCATAGCATGTAATTCGTCTTTAAAAAGACAAACACATGACATGATGACAGTAAAATTCTCCTGTTAGTGATTCCATAGTAAATTATGAGGGAAAAACCAGGAAAAAAACCTCATAATACTATCCGACATTGTAAGTATTTGTTCGTGAATTTAGTTTACCTTCAACAGACATCAAAATTCTGATTTTATATGTTACGTTATTTAAAAACATAAATTATGTATCCTCTATATGTTACTGACTTACTAATACTGGTATTTTCTTATTAATAACTTCCTCTTTCAATATTGGTAACCAGATCCTACTACATTCTGCCGAGGAATTTGCGACACAATTGGCCTCATTTAGCATAATTAGAGCCGCTTCTTTGATTTTTCTTTTTTTACCATCCGTTTCTTTTAGGACTATATTTGAATTATTCCATTGAACCCTATGTTCATTATCCCATGCGTGTTTACATATTTGAGATCTATCAAATTCTCTATTTTTAATATAAGATTGATGTTCACTTATTCTAACATGTAATGGCCTTGATGATTCACCTAAATAAAACTGATCGCATTCACAAGGTATTTTATAAATGCAATTCTTTGTCCTTTCTTGTTCATTGTCAGGTTTGGTTTTGGACAAAATAGATCTCAACGTGTTTGTTGTTTTGAATGTTGTTGAAATGTTGAATTTATTTCCTATCCTTTTAAGTTTTTCTGATAATCCTTTTATGCACGGTATTGTTATTTTCCTTATATTATTCCTTGTGTATGCTGTAGGATCTCGTTCTAAGTTGTTCTGTTCTATTCGATCGATTGTTGAAAATTCCTTATTTATAAACGATAAAGGATAATCATTTTTTAATAAAACATATGTTAACAAATGTTTCTCCTCCAAGAACTAGAACAAGACTAAACATATCGGCTATAATGGAGTTATTAACATTATGTACTGATAATACATATTTTCAACTAAATAATGAATTCTATAAACAAAATTTTGGTCTAGCAATGGGCTCTAGTTTATCTCCATTCTTAGCCGATATATTTATGGAAGATTTTGAAACAAATATCATTTCTAAACAAAATTTCAAACCCATAGTATGGTGGAGGTATGTAGATGATGTATTCTCAATATGGCCTCATGGATCAGAGTTGTTGGACACATTCCTAAACGATATAAACGATAAAGAAGAGACAATAACATTTACCATGGAAAAGGAATATAATAACACGCTACCTTTCCTGGATGTTTTAATCTCTAAGAACGATACTGGATATGAGACTCAGGTGTATAGAAAACCTACACACACCAATAGATATTTAAATTTCAAATCAAATCACAATATTAATGTAAACAAGGGAATAATTAAATCCTTATACGATAGAGCCAAAATTACTTGTTCTAACGAAAATTCGTTCTTGGAGGAGAAACATTTTTAGAAACTATTTTTATCTTTAATTGTGGTTTATTCCCAGTTATAAATAGTAATTAATTTACAATGCCACAAGAAAATAGCTTCAGAACTATAATTTAGCCGTAATAAAGGAAAGGCAGAAGTTTTGCGCACTCTTTATGTGAGAGCAATAGATTATTTTAGGTTTTAAACCTCATATTTTTCCTTGATACTTTAGAGGTGATAGTTGCGAGGTAAGCGTTCCATGAAGGTTTCTTATCTAAGATAACCCCGAGATTCCTAACCTACTCTAATAATGATAGCATTGTTCCATTAATGGTTGGAGGTTGAATTATTACTTTCAGTTGTGAATGAAACAAGTGTCGTTTTAGTAGGATTTACTCAAAGACCAGATAGTTACTAGATTTAAGGCATCTTGCATGCGATCAACAATAATACTATAATACTTACCTCTAACCACTGTAACTAAATCGTATGCTTAGCCCAGAGCACGAAATCCTCCTCTTTTGAACTGTGTTGAAAGATCAAAAGAGAAAGATATTGAGCACATTGAGGAGACTAACCTAATAACTGAAATATCGGAGCCCGAGCCAAAAATATTCACCACCCCAAGAGATGACAGATTTTGGGTCTACAAATTTGTGGAATATAACAACTATCTTTGAACAAATCAACTCCATAAAGTTAGAAATGTGTGCTGTAGAAGAACGCTTTGGGATTGTAGAAAAAAAACTACTGGTCAATAATGCCAACTGGAGCAAATGATAGGTTAGATGAATATCGACGAATATGAGGTAGACCTGTGGTATTATGTTCTAAGTTGTATTGACGAGCGATTTTTTAACACATAATGACTTTCTTACAACTTACAGATCCATTACGGGAGTTCTAATAGCGGCTTCCCACGGTCGGCGATATTGCGGACGTAAGCGGACCAGCCCGCACCACGCACCGTGGGAAAGGTCTCGTCCGTGGTAGCGCAGACACGTCCGTTCTGGTGCGTCCTATCCATCTAGAGTCGGTAACATCAAAGGTGCGCTATATGCTCGTGCTCGCGATCCTAGCGCGTCTGTGTTTTAACAGACAACTGCAAGTCAGAAGTTTTTCATTCGCTGACACGAGTAGTTGTCTGTAGTGTTGTCAAAGTTGTTTTGCAGTTTTTTGCTAAAAAATGGAATGGACAAACGAAGTTATTTTTGATTTTTTAAATTTGTATCAAAATGAAACAAATTTGTGGAATTCTACGGCACCAGAGCATAAGAAACGGAACCGATATAATAAGATGTATGGAACCGAATAAAAAATCAATTGAAGAATAGTACTATTTCGATTAAAGAATTAAAAAAGAAGAGAAATAATTTAATGCCGACATACAAAAGGCAAAAAACAAAAGTTGGAGAATCGATGGGAACTGGAAGTGGGGCTGATGATGTTTACAAGCCTGAGTGGCCTTTTTATGATATAATCAAACAATACTGTCACGGACCTTCACAGACTGTCACGGACCGTAGGAAAAGCTCTGTTTGCGGTGCGTTGTCGTCCGTGCTGATCGGCTGTCCGCGATGATCTGTAGAATCGCCGATCGTGGGAAGCCACTATAAGAGATAAGATTCTTAGAATTTCGTGTAAGATAATACGAAACCTCATATAGCCAGAATTATCAGAACATCTGAGATATGTATTATGTGGTTAGATTGGACAACATACATATAATATGCATGGGAGCACATACGACGACTTATTAGAAAATGGTGCTTGAACGGAGAAAGCTGCTATTGTTGTAGTGGAATAATGTCGATCTAAATGGGATTTTTAATTTATCGGAAATTACACCTCGTAGACTTTGAGCAGTTATTAAATCAAAAGGAACGAAATGACAGAATACAGAATAGTCTAAAATAAATTTAAAATAGTGACAGATATCTAAGGGACCTAAATTTTTTGCTCACCAGAATATATCAATTCGTGTGTGTATTTTTTAGATAATAAAATTGTTGATTGAGCATGGTATAAATGTGCATGTATATTTTGTGCATAGTGTGTGTTTGTGCGTGCGTTTCTTTATATGTGACTGCGTTTAATGTTGATTTAACAAATCGACAGATAATTGCAGGCCCTATGCCATCATATTCTCAGTTGATCCATGTTTGGTTATACTTTATTCATACCTGTCGTCCTATATACATATCCATAGGATATTCCCCATTAATCCCAATGTCTAATTGCAGACTCTCAGTTTCAGATCGGTAAAAATGTAGTTCTTGATTATAAGCCATATTTTTAGTTTATATAATAGAATATTATTGCTATAAAGGTTAATATCTGCCTTTTTTCTATATTTTTAAATTAATTTTGAACTTTTTTTAAGAACATGAAATAATAATTTTTACGTTGTTTTATCATTTATAGAACAAACGTCAGCCAAAGAAATTAAGGCATAAAGTAAATAGGAATACCAAAACTCAAGCTCAACAGCAAGAAAAACAAGCTGCGTCCAAACCAAAAGCCAGACGAGGCAGAATGAAGAAAACAAGAGCTAAGAAACAAATTAAAATTAACGGTTTGGATCTGTTACATAACGAAACATTGCTAAGCACATCGCCCCAAGCAACAGGTAAGAAGTTACCTCCTGCACCAGGTTGTGTCGACCAGCAGTTGACTACGTTAAGTTCAGATTCGATAGTTCATAACGAGCTTGACATACCAGAACAACCAGCTGAAACACCATATGGTTTACAAGTACTCCTTGATATGTTCAAAGGTCAGTACATGCAAATGTTAAATCAACTGAAGAATCCAAATTATAAAAATCTTATTGAGGTACAAATTGGAGAGGAGAACGAGAGAAATAGAAAATTGAAGAATCGTGCAGCACAATTAGAAAAACAAATTACGCTTCTAATTGATGACAGTGTTGCTCTGTTAAAAGCTAGAATGAGTGAATTGGAAATCGATGCTACGTCTCCTGTTGATCTTCTTGCAAAGGCTAAAGAAATAGTTTGTCGTCACAAAGAACTACAAGCAACAGCTAGCAAGCTACAGGCGGAAGTAACTAGTTTGGAGGGCGAACGAGACAATTTTGTATTACAGAGACAAGCAGAGATTTGTGAAAAGTATGCAGGCGCAGTAGCGTCTGGTCTATCTCCCAAAGCTAGTCAAAATTACATCTTAAGAGAAATATCATCAACGTTAGCACAAAGAAAGAAACTTCAGAATGAGGTATCAAAGTTGGAGGGAGATATTCTTAGTCTTCAGAAAAATGAAGAACGAAAACAAGCTCAAGCACTAGCGGCTAGACAACAGCAACCTGCTAAGGTTTCTAGAAAATCTCGTGAGTATAGAGCTCGTTCACAAGATTGGCCTGATGTTCCAGATATTGCAAAAATTGAGGAACAAAATCCAGAAATATTGGCTCAAAAGATATTGGAAACTGGAAGAAAAATTGAAGCTAGTAAAATGTCCGCAATCAATAACAAAGTGCCACAAATAATTCACAATAATCCCACTAAACATTTACCACCTAATAACAATTACCCAAAATCTTTAATACGTAATATGCCTGCTCCATTTGCTATGACAACAAAGCGGCAAAAAACTACTCACAATTTTCCTATGGCTAATATGCCCAGTGTTCAAAATAATCACACCAATCATGCTTGCAAAGTCCAAGGAGCACTTCGTATAGCAAATTTTGAAGATCGCTTGAAAAGCATTATTACTTCAGTTCTTAACGAAGATGTTCAAAATAGAACTAAACAAGCTCAAACACCTGTTTTGCAATACAATCAAACCCATGAGAGACCAATGAGCATCGATAAGCATCTGTCCCAAGAAAGGCACTTGACCCAAGAACGCCATTTACAGCATGAAAGGCATTTAGCTTCAGAAAGGCAATTAATTCCAGAAAGACAATTTAATCATGAACGGCAGTACAACTCTGAGAGGCACTTGACTGCCGATAGACATATAAATCAGGAAAGACAAATAAGTGCTGAGAGACACTTAAATTCAGAAAGGCCCCTCAATACAGAGAGGCATTCAAATCCTGAAAGACATGCGCTTCCTGATCGAAGTTTAAACACTGAACAGCCAGATTATACCCAAGTATCACCTGCCAAGTTAGCCCTTCGAAGACATCTTTCTCAGGAGAAATTGGCTCACCAACAAATACCCTATAATACTGCAGATGGAATGGTTGCTACAAGAACAATTGGTAAGTAAATGTTTTTTTATACTTTACATCTTAAAATAATCCCTCAACTAATTCAAGACGTGATTTGAATTTCTCCTGAGACATTCCTCTTGAATGTCTCAGGAGAGCCTTTTTTAAACATAGACCTGGAATTTCTGTGTTTTTCATATTGTTCTATTCGTTCGTTAATTTATTCATTCATAAATATCAATTTTAATAAACAAGGTATCGTTAAAGGTATGTATATTAATGTATTCAATATTTTTCAGGGGACCTTATGTCTGGTGAAATCGAACGAACCCTTGAAATATCTAACCAATCCATTATCAATGCTGCAGTAGACATGAGTGATATCCAGGGTACAGCAACGTTGTCCTCAAGGTCTGTGGTCAACGCTAATTTGCCACCCCGTCCAGAAAGAGTCAATGTTAAAGTGCCTAATGCAGAGATGCCTCCATTATCTACTTTACCTCCCACGCCCAAAGAACCCGATCCAGTGCCTAGACAGCAAGTTTACAGCCCTATCTCTAGACCGTCTTCCACTGAAGGACTGGAAGGATTAGCTTATATACATTCTCATTCGAAGGTAAATATTAATGATAGTACTATATTCCATTTAAAAATCATTGATAGTACAGTTTTTATAACAGAGCTCGAAGTATCAATATTTATAATTTTTACTACTTGTATAATAGTCTAGGAGCCGGGGGGTGTTGGGTATGCACTTTTATATCCCCTCTGTATCTTGACTTCTTTATGTAGAAGTAGGTAGATTCGATCTTTTGAGTGTACCACACTAAAAACCCGTCAGATAATGAGCTATTAACAATGTAAGTGTTTAAATGATTGTACATGTTAAACTATTAGAGATATTTAATTTTACCAAAATGAAAATTGTTCCTTTTGAAAAAATTATCAAAATGGCATTTAGAACAGAAGCTATAACAAATGTCGTGAAAAACCATTGAAAAATAAGCATTCGATGGAGTTTTTCCAAGTATAACTTCGCTTTCCAACGTCAAAACCCACTCATTTTGCAGTTAATTGTTTCAGCTTTAAAAAAACTTTGCAAAATTACTTTTGCACTAAATTTTCCACGCAAGGAACGCAGCAATAGCGCATAGTGTGTACTTTGTATGGAAAACCATCCGGTCAACTATAAGGGCTGCAGCGTATACAAACAAATACAAAGGAAAAATTCCCCCAACTTAGAAAGAAACAAGAGGCCCATAGAACAGGCAACAAGGAAACTAGTAGTCAAACAGTAATCCCTGGTGTTTCTTACGCTTAGAAAACTTCAGGAAATAGTCAAACGACTGAAATCACAAACCAACAAAGTGATGGCAAAACTAATGAAGAGAATGGATACTATGCTTAATCTCCTTATCACTATTATTTCCAAAATGCACTTATGCAAAACAGACTTAAAATAGGCGTCTGGGACTCAAATGGCATAACAAAGCATATTTTTTCTCGACGAGATGTTGAGATGAATACGAGAATTGATGTTTTGCTCATAAATTAGAAGATCATCTAACAGACAAAAATTATATTAAAATTCCAAAATACATTATTCACTACACAAAACATCCAAATGACAAAGCACACGGTGGCACAGCTATCATCATCAAATCAAATATAAAACATCATGAGTGGGGGTTATGAGCGAGATGACTGGGTGGAAAGAATCAAGCAAGGTTTAGATATCTGGGAATATATATAACTAGTTACGGAGATGTTGAAGAAGTACGACACAATCTGGAAGAACAAACACCTAAGACAAGACACAAAAGCAAGAATCTATAAAGCAGCAATTACACCTATATTAACATACACGGTGGAGATAAGACCTGACACATCAAACACAAGACGACTGCTAGAAACAACAGAGATGGAAATACTTCGACGAATATCAGGGAGAAGTCTGTTGAATAGGGAGAGAAGCGAAAATATAAGAAGAGCATGCAATATAGAAGACATAAATGGATGGGTGATGGGTTACAAAACGAAAACAGGAGTGGAACGAACACATCAGTAGAATGGCAGAGGATAGAATAGTACGAATAGTACGAACAGCATGAGATAAGTCATCAAATGGACGAAGAAGTATTGGCAGACCAAGAAAAATATGGTACGATAATTTAAACAATTTAGAAGGCTAATATTAGAAGATGAGTTAAATAAGTTCAGTGAAAAGTACCTATAATCAACTAGCATCGTCATCGAAGACTGGCTAGACAACTTTACTTCATCTGCAGTCTACTGTCCTTGGTTTGAACCTACTTTAGTTCTCTTGGACACAAATTCTTAGCAGCAGGAGACTTTAACTGCAAACATCATCGCTGGGGCTCTAGGGTAATCACAACAAGGCAACTCTTGAAATCAATAATGGGAAACAAGCTACAATGTATAGGAGAACCAACTTATTGGCCTGCAGATCCAAATCAAACACCTGATCTCTTAGATTTCTGTGAAATTAAAGGTATATCTCTTAACTACTGCGCAATAGAATCATGTTGGAACCTTTCGTCAGACCATTCTCCCATTTTAATTGACCTAGACTTAAATGTCATACTTAGAAGTAAGCCTCCAGTCCTAACCAATAACCAAACAAACTGAAACATATTTCGAGTGCACTTACTACTTCCATACAAAAGGCGGGATGGAGTGCTACTACTGAACAGACAATATGGAAGGAAAGCATAAATTGTTCTCTGAGTGCAAAAAGCTTGATTGAAGAGAAAAGAAAACTAAGGAGAAAGTGGCAAAACACACATGCACCTATGAAGGGTCATAAGACACTATACCTCCTTTAAAAAATGCCAAAGGTAAATGGGCAAGAACATATAAAGAGAAATCCGAGACATTCGTAGAACATCTTTCGAAAGTATGTAGTTCATTTACCAGAGAAGTGCCTGTAGAACAAGAAGAACCACTTCATTCTTTTCTTGGCGCTCCATATAAAATAGAACTACTAATCTCCCAATTTAAATAAAGTAACTCTGCGAAGTTTTTCAAAACTGTAACAATGATCTTTAAAATGAGGAGGTTTTGAAAGTTAATCGCACTTATGAAAGATGAGTTATACTTGGAAAAGTCCTATCGAATCTATATTTGACAATTGTTTTTCATCTATTCATGTGTTGAATATAGGCCTCTCCCATTTGTCTCTGTCTTCTATTTGTCTTTTCCACATTGGACCTGCGCTTTGCTCAATGTCAACTTTCCATCTCATTTGCGGTCGACCTCTTGACCTTTTTGTAGTATGTGGTCTCCAGCGGCCAATTTCTTTATTTCATCTTCCATACTGATATCTTTCGTTATGCCCAGCCCATTTCCATTTTAATTTCAATGCATGTTCGACAGCGTCCGTTGTTTCGGTTTTGCGTCTTATCCACTCGTTCCTCTTTTTATCTCTCAACGATATTCCCAACATTTGTCTTTCCATAGCTCTTTGAGTTTTCTTTATTCTATCTTTCTATTCTATCTTTATTCTATTCTATCTTTATTCAAGTTGCTCTTGGTACACGTCCACGTCTGGGCATTATATGTCAGAACAGGTAGGACGCATGCATTAAATACCTTCGTTCTTACTTTTAATGGTATTTTTTGGTTTTTGATAGTATATGAGAGTTTTGTTATAACTATTCTTCCAAAATCTGATCAAAGTTTAACACAGACATTTTGTTCATTTTTTTCAAAGGAACGATTTTATTTTGGCAAAATTTAATATCTCAAATAATTCAGGAGATACAATCATTTAAACAACTAAAATGTTAATAACAAATTATCTGATGAGTGTTCAGCCTGACACCCTCGAAAAATCGAATCTACGCACCAAAACACATTAAAGGAACCGAGGGGATATAATAGTGAATACTCAACACCACCTGGCTCCTAGACTATACGAGCTCCTTCGCATATTAGTTGGCCCAACGTTAGATTCATAAGAAAATTAAATTTTAGAGAACATTTGCATGGAACAACATTTTTGAATTTGACATCCACAATTCTTTGGGGTCATAGTTTTTACCAAGTTCTGACAAAATTCTAATGTGAACGAATCCTGTATTTCTTGCAATTTTTCCTTCAATTCATTGACGAACCTGGCAGGATGTTTTCTCAAAGCTTTTTTCATTTCGTGCCACAAAGTTTCAGCGACAAATCGGGACTGTTAGAAACCTATTTCAGAAATGGTATGCCATGGTCTTCAATCCGTTTTAAACTCTTTTTTGAGGTATGACAACCTGAACCGTCCTGTTGGAATGCAAAATCTTCCGCTGATGTTAAACGATGTTTCATAATCGCTAAAAGAGATTCTTCTAAAATATTTAAATATTTGTCTGTGTTTACAATCCCATCGATAAAATGTAACTTTATCACACCTTTAGACGACATTCTGCCCCAGATCATGACAGATGCAGGAAATTTGACTTTTCTCTTCAGACAATCTGGATGGAAAGCTTCATTTTTCCTACGAATGACGCGACTCCTACTGTCTCCAACACACACTTCAAATCTGGACTCATCAGTCCCTTTTATTGAATCCCATTGCGACTGAGTCCAATCTTTATGCTCTTTTGGCCATCTTAGTCTATTTTTCTTTTGTTGTCACGTTAGTGGCTTTTATTTGGAATTTTATTAAAAACAATTCGTACTAATTTTTTCAACTATAAAACTTACTTTGTAAGTATCAAATCCTAATTTGTGGGACTTTCGGTGACATGTTGATCTAGAAACGTGTTTTCCAATAACGTCACTCCATAAAACGCTTAGATTGCTAATGCCAAGATTGGAGCTGGAGATAAGACACAGTACATTGAAGCACATAGGCTTGGAGCCAGAAACGAGAGAGGAAATTTCCTAGAAAAATTCACAGAAGACTCAGAACTAGTTGTCACCAACGCATTCTTCCAATTACCACCTCGCAAGCTGTACACTTGGAAATACCCTCAAGACAGACCTGGGAGAATTATTAGGAATCAATTATACATTTTAGTAAATAAAAGATTCCGAAACAGCTTTACATCTGTCAAGATTTATCCTGGAGCAGACTTGGAGACAGACCACGTTCCACTGGTGGGAGTATTTCGAGTCAAACTCAAAACAGTGCAGAAAAGGAAAGCACAATCATACGACCTACGTATGCACAATCATACGACTTACGTATGCTGAAAGACCTTAATACGAGGATGAGAGTCCAAGCCACCTTAAACGAGCCAGTGAGTGCAATTAGAAATGGATCGAATGAAGAACAAACGATCAAACATATTACAGAAATAGTGCAAAATGTAAAGAATAAACAGTTAAAGACATAGATTAACGAAGAAAATGTCATGGATGACAGATAAGATCCTGAAACTAATGGACGAGAGAAGAGAAGCAAGAAATAACCCAGACAAATCTAAGACCACAAATATATTAATAAGAACGAAAATCGAGAAGCGAAAGAAAAAGAAGCAAGGGAAAGATGCGAAGAAATTGAGACTGCAGTCAAAGTACGATAATCACAATGTACATAGGAAAGTTAAAGAACTCACTCAAGAACGTGGAAAGAATATCTAGAAAAACTATTTGAAGACCAAA